ACTTACTACAATAAGTAATTTTAATTTATCTTAACTTGTAACCATGCACAACACCATTAATTATTCTGTTAGACCAACAAAATAGTTATCTACAGTGTTTTTATTTTTTCTGATATCTCTATTCATTGAATGTCTTTGATTGCTTTTTTTTTTACTTTGGTACTTTTTATATGTCAAATAAGTGATATATACATATAATATGTATTTAAGAATAACATATTCATTTGTAGAATTGAAATGGACATCTTCATTTGCATTCTCTTTTATTTCCAGAAAGTGTTTTTAAATTCTCATATTTAATTACCTTATATACATTGTCCCTAAACTGAGATTTTCTACTTATATTGAAAAAATAGGCACATATTTTTGAATTCTTCTTTGTTGAATGTTATAGTTTTATAGATGCTTTTTCTGGAGTTCATGGTTGTAAATTATTTAAATGTAGAGCTGCATTTTAAAAGACAAAATAGTAAGCCCTTATGCAAATTTTTGACACTTTTGCATTAATCTACAGTAGGTTTCACCTAGGACACCACATGCATTCCAGTTAGTAAGTTTATATACATTAAGTGGTTAAGTTATTGTATTCTACTTTTCTACATAAGTAACTTAATATCAAACTAATTTCAGTTTGGAAGCAAAGCATCAGAAGTTAAAATACTAGTATAATGAATTCTCTCTATAATACTGAGAGAATGATTTATCTTTCCCAGTAATCAGTAGCTACTTTTTTCTTTTTTCTTCTATGCAGATTGTTGGGTATATTTTGGAAGTGTGCCAGAATTGGTAAGTGTCTGTATAATCTTCCTTTCTTCAGCAGTAAATTGTTGGCCACTTTACTTATGTCCTAATCACACAAATCTAATGTCAGTTTTTAAAGTACAGGCTTCCTAATTTTTTGCAATTTTGTAAAAGTTTGTAGAGTTCTCTGAATTCTTTTTCTGTTTATTCCCCCCTATGTTTTTTAAAGCTAGACTTGGTGGATACCTGGTGAATATGAGAAAAATCTCTCTTAAAATTCAGGTATAAATACTGCATATTCGTGGTTTTGAGATTTTAGACAAATATGTATAGTTTTATGCACATATGCCTATAGTAGAGAGCATTTTGTTCTGTATAATGTGTACCATTTGGATGACTGAGGATGACTTTCCCATCAATAAAAGGCTTGCTGAGCAACTACCTAAACATAATCATTTTATTGCCCTATGCTAAGTCATGGAGTATTATTTGTTGCTTTTAGAAAACATTAACTTTTGTCTGTTAAACCCACAAGGACATAGCTGAGCTTTATTATGATTGACTAAGTTAACATAAATCTAGTTATCTTTTAACTTTTCATAAGATTAGTAGAATCTTAAGTGTATTTATATTTAGATGATAATATACTTGTCTCATTCAGCTATCTATATAATATTTAGCACAGTGTCCAGCAGCACATAGTAGACTCTCAAATGATTGGTAGTGAATGAATTAGAATGTATTGCATTGCTGTAATTCACCAGTACTCTTGAATAATAGATTATACCTGTTTTAACATAGCTTGTTCAAAAACAACTACTTCGGGGCATTGGTACTTATACCACCTCAACTGAAAAAATGACTATTTCTTGTCCTTTTTAAAATTATTTATATGACTCCCTCAACAAAATGATTTTTATACTCTCTTCTAACATTGAATTTATACAATACTACTTTTTTCATAAGACTGTCAGACTTTAATAATGAAGAAAATAGCCAATCTGACAACTGCCTGAATTCACTAAACTAATTCCTTTAGATAGGATGGAAAATTTAAGAATCATCTCCTTTATATAAACTGTGCTCCCTTTAAAGTATTATGTTTTATTTTGATTGTCATTTTGCAGAGATGTGAAAGTTCTAGAAGATGGCCCATAATAGGAAACAAAATTTATTAAAGATTAAAAAATATAAACTGAATTCTTACAATATTTAGAATTGTTTTAAAGAAGACCTGAAAATTGATGTAATGTATCTAAAGATAATTATAGACATAACCTATTCTCAGTAAGGACTAAAAATTAATTGTAGGAGTTTTGAAAATTTTTAAAGCATCTTCCAAGATCCATATGGTGTTAACATTGAAATCATTTTGAGAGAGCAACTTTTCTCCCTTGAGCTTTTAATGATAGGCAAAACCTACTCACAGTGGGAGTTGTAAGTATAATACTAAATTATCTAGAGTTCTTTTATTTTTTAAAACAAAAATCTGTTATGATGAGATTATACATCTCCTTGGCCTTTTAGGTTTCTTCCTGTAGAAAACAATAGTAAAAGCATGAAAAGCTTCACAGAAAAGTACCTCTTTCAAAGCCCTCATTCTAATATGTTGACTATTGACACATACATTTTAAATTCTCTGAACTTAAAATTCAGAGAATTCATTGTGCTTTTAACATGCTACACTGTTCTTCGTCAGTGTTCTTTGTTGGGCTTTATTCTCTCTTAAACATTGATAGACATGAGAATCCTGTTTTGGTAAGAAATATTGACCTCAGATTGGTAAAGCACAGACATAGCCTAGATAAGTGGTTGTCAATCAGGGGACATTTGGCAATGTCTGGAGATGTTTTGGATTGTCACAACTAGAGTGGGGGTATATACACTGGGTATAGGTCAGGGATTTGCTAACCATCCTGTGATGCATAAGACAGCCCCTTCCAGCAGAATTAGCCCAAAATGTCAATAGTGCTGAAGTAGAGAATACCCAGCCTAGATTTTCAGAGCTTTGAGGTACAGACTTATCTGGCATTCAGTCATGCTCAACAGCTAGCTGCAAGCCCTGAAATGGTAGAAATATTAAGCACTTCAAAAATAACCAAAAACCCTAACCGGTTTGGCTCAATGGATAGATCGTTGGCCTGCGACTGAAGGGTCCCAGATTCGATTCCGGTCAAGGGCATATACCTTGGTTATAGGCACATCCCCAGTGGGGAGTGTGCAGGAGGCAGCTGAATCGATGTTTCTCTCTCATCAGTGTTTCTAACTCTCTATCCCTCTCCCTTCCTCTCTGTAAAAAAATCAATAAAATATATTTAAAAGAGAGAGAGAGAGATAAAGAGACACAATAGCACCATCGATGGCTAATGCTGATAGCGAATGGTAAATGTAAATATATATAAACCAGGCTTTGTGCTGCAGAGCCAAGTCACCCGGAAGAAGAAATAATATTGTCGAGGAGCAGAGTGGTCAGAGTATTTCAAGTAAACTTCAAAGAGAGACATAATGGAGGAGCAAGACAGTTTGAGAAAATAGAATGTCACTGCCTTAAAGTAATTAATTCTAAATGTTCATTGGTAAAAGTAAATACAGTATGGAGTTAGGAGACTGAGCTTTGATCTCAGTATTATCATTAAGTTTCTAGTTCAGAAATAAAATATTAAAGTATTAGAAATTCATTTTATGTAATTAGAGAAGTTCAGCTTCATTCATTAGTCAACCCAGGTAACTCCTTTGCTCATAATTATGACTTGAAAATATAGCTAAAAATTTAGGACATTTAGTTTGTAGCTTAATGCTTTCCTGTAGTCTCATCTATTTTTATATCTAATTATAAACTGCCTTTCCTTTTTTTGCTTGCTCATTTATTATTTTTATTTTCCTCAATTACATGACTCTCATAGGTTAAAGAGTTCAGTTAACGTATTCTTGCCAATTCTATAAATGCATTAGCTTTTCATTTTGGCAAAGGGACTTAAAAATGTTGATGCTGATATGTTGCTTTCTCAAACACGTGCTCCTCTTATCTTGACACAGAATATATCCACAAGTAAAGGATGCAATTTTAATGGGAAAAGACCCAGCCAAATCATCTTATGTTACACATCACATTACAGCAACTGTTTCACATTCACGTATACAGAACCAAGACCAGACAAGATCTTACCCAAGTTCAACCAAAGATGTTTAATTCTACCACATGGCAATCTCTTTTAAGAAAATTAAAAACAGGAAAATTAAACCCATATGTAAATTATAGCATTCTAAGTTAGAGAATGAAGAGAACTTCCTCAAAAATTAATTTCCAGCAGATGGAAAATTTAGGACAATATTAATTTCCCTTTTGGGTGTTTAATAAGACTATTGGACAATGAGAGTTTCTAGCCCCAAGAAGGGTAACAGGCTTACTTATGGAATCTACCTGAAATTTATGTTGGAATGAGTTTGTGTGTCTTTTAATTTTGTTTAATAACGAGTTTTATTTACCATCAAAAAAATCAGCATTGCTTAAAATGATAACCCAAGGAGATTTTTAGTTTTAAAAGTTTTTTTTCTAGTTGAGGTATTGGTACTGTGAAAACACTATTCTCTCTAGATTTTCCTTTAGCTGGAAGCAGTCCATTAAATGTCTATGGATGGAAAAACACTTTAAGAAAAACACCAAATGTTTATTTTATTTATGTGTGTATGTAATATCTTCTATGACTATTCTAATTGAACAGACACAAAGATGTGTACTCACTAACAATAAGACTGTGAGTTCAATTGAGGATTTTAGTTAGATAAGTGTGGTCAAATTTGATGTTTTTCTGAGGTAGTTAACTGACCTTGCTAAATGAAATAAGGAACCTTGTTACTAGAAAAGTGCTGGTTTTAAACATCATAGAAAAACACACGTGAGTGATGTATAAACCATAGAGTGTCCCAGTACAAACCCAGGATCATTTCCAGAAGTAGCACATCACTCTTTCTTCATCCTTTCTTATCCTCAAGGCAGCACATAAATACCTGGTGCTTTGTGGAATTGTACATCCTTGCAATTGCTAAAGAAACAAGAAAGAATAAGATGAATTTGAGTTAACTCACAATCACAAATCTCTTTGCAACACCATTTCACAAGCCAACTCTAGGTCTGTTTCATGCAAAGGAAAGTCACCCCAGTATAAACAGTCCTTAAACACATATAAAAATCAACTCATACTGAAGTGATTGTTTTAAGTTCTATTTCTGACCCAGAGTAATCATAACTATAAAAAACATATAAAAGGTTTGATATGAAATTCATCGCAGAAATTGTTATATTTCGAATAGGTTTTTTATTAAGCATCTTACTTTATGCCCATTCTTAAAATGCATTTTTATTGACCACCCTCTGTTCATTTTCCTCCACAAATGCTTCTTTTTCCCTTTTAAAAGTGTCACAAATTGCTACCAATGAGGCAAAAAAATGTTGAATTTTTTTATGGAAGTTTCCCTTTCTGTAGAAAAAATTAAGCAATACTTGTTTGGCCTTAATTGAGGATAAATCATTTCTCTTGGATCTCTGTCCTGCATTCTGTCTTGTATTTTTTAATACCTGGCTTTACTCTGGCACAGGAATGGTGCATTGAAGATTTTCTAAACAAGTGAAAAGGAGGTACTCTTAGAAATAAATTGATATAGTTTGTGCATTCTGTATTGTACTTTTTTAAATGTTTTTATGTTTTTATTGATTTTAAACAGAGGGGAAGAGAGAGCGAGAGAGAGAAACATCAATTGGCTGCCTCCTGCATGGCCCCCACCAGGGATCAAGCTGCAACCTCAGGCGTGTGCCCTGACTGGAAATTGAACTGGTGACCTCCTGGTTCAAGGGTTGATGCTCAACCACTGAGTCATACCGGCTAAGCTATAGTCGCTTTTATATTGCATCTAATTCTTGTTTTCCCCACCCACCCTCAAAATATATGGACTTCATAACAATAACTTTATCTTGATTCTTATGTACTCTTCTCCAATAGTAAATAATAACCGAATCATATCTGTTAACTACTCAGTTAATAAACTTGAATATTTCCCTTGTTTCCAACAGGTGAACGGAAGAGTCCTTATGTTGCAGTATGCTGTATAGTGATGGCCTTCAGCATCCTATTCATGCAGTAGCTTGGAAAAATACCTGAATTTAATTGCCATCAGATTTCAATATAAAAAGGGGACTTATCTGCAGAAAATAATGCAAAGAATGGATAACTTTGTTTCAACATTGAATGAGATAAATTCCCAGCTGCTGTTCTCTATATTGTTATTGGACCAATGTTCTATATAATTACTTGCTTTACCTCTGGCCACACCATTTTGAGCATTAACCAGAGTACCTCTACTCTTAACGAACTCTGTAGTTTATAGCAGGTTTTCAAACTATTTAAAATAAGCCTATGCCATTCTAATGAGAAAGATAAATGAGATGTGACTTGAGTAGTATTGAGAAAGTGTTCATATTTAATGTGAAAGGATTTAGAATAGCTTATTGGTGTAGTCACTTCTGCAGTCTCTCTAGTTAAGTATGGATAAATGTCTTAAGCGTAAATTTGACCAGCTGTCATTTTCTAAGTAAAACTATATTCTTAGAATAAAAGGACAAAACAGAACGATTATAAAATGATAATCCTGTATTGTTTAGAGTCAGGTCTCCACTTATTTTAATTACCCTAAAATGCAAACTGTATTTTTTTTTGTTTTTTAATACAGCACTTTGAATCTGGTTTATGTTTGTCTGTCAACCTGAACTGGAATATCTTATGTAACTTAATAGGTGATGATTAATTGTTTTCAAATCTACTGATCCCTGGACCATCTTAGCTAGAAATTGCCCATTATATATAGTATTAGTTATTGTTCTCAGCTAATTGTTCTCCCGAAAAAGGTAAAAAGGAAATAAATTTTTTAAAGAAAAGAGAATTATTTTAAAATGAGTCTGATAGTAGCGCTTTCTGCAGAAAAAAGACATAGATCTGAAAGCCACCTCTTTTTAAAAATTAAACTACTTGGAAAGAATTCTAGGAAACATCTAAGAAAAGCTGGGTATGTGTTGCCAGCTTTTTCTTTTTCTTCTTTTTTCAAAAGATAAAGCTGCTTGTAAGTTGACAATATATTTTATTTTACATTTTTGGCCTATCTAAAGCTGGTTTAAAGTGTTATATTTTACTTTAGATAGAGAATCAGGTTATGGTAATTGTTCCTATTCTGAACTTTCTGTTGGGCTTTGCATTAGGTCAAGGATTTTCAGGGTATCCCCAAAATAGTACTCTTGTCAGCATATATACATGCAGAGTAAGTCACCTTTCTGGGTCTGGTTTCTTATCCATCTGTTGTCCAACTCTGCTGCCAACTAGGCTTTCCAAAAGCTATGTCAACTAACTTTTCATATGTTAGATGAATCTAATACAAAAAAAAAAAGGATGAAAATTCTAGATAATTCTAAGACATTTCTTTAATTTGGCATTTTGGAGGATGTAGGTGGAAGATAGAGGAAGCAATAATTTCTTTGGAAAATCTGTGGTAATATATAAAAATTTGAACTCTGTGTAGATTCTGAACAGAGTGGGAAGCAACTTATTTCTGACCCCAGCCATTCTGACCTTTTGAGACATACGCTCTTTTGGAGGTGGGAGAAAGACACAGGATTCTATGAATAAAGGCAGTTACCATTTTCTTTAATGTATTGCTTTCTAAGATTTACCACTGAACCCTATTCTATAACCCAAAAGGCAGTGTAGGTAGTTTTAAGCCTAGAGAATATTCAGATATTCCCTTTGTGGCATTGGTGGGATGGTAGGATGCAGAAGAGGAATAAGGATCAGGTTCCACATCAGATGGACTGTTGCTGTCACACAGTCTTACTGAGGGGCTGGATTGCATAATGGGCACTGCAGTTCACAGATTACTAGGTTCAGTTACTCTCCCTAACCTTCCTGACTTCAGAATCTTTTTATTCCATCTCCTAGAATTTGTTTTGTACTGATAATTAGTTCCTGGTTGGCCTCAGCTCTGCCAATGGTAGGGGCATGTCTTCTTTCTAAGCAGTCTTAAAAGATAGTCAATCAAAAGGCCACATAGTGTGTTGAATTCCCTCTGCGGTTTAAAGTTTAGAATCAACTCCAGTGTCTCCTCAGTGCCTGTGCTGCTGGTCTAGGCACTATCCTGAATGAATGCTCTTACATATTCAAATTCCAAATAGCCCTTTTGTGCTAGGGATAATAGTAATATGCAATGTGTAATAGGCTCTTTCATCTTAGTGATATGCAGACCAGCCTAGTTTTATCTTAGGACAAAATAGAAGTTTGAATGAACTAACTTCTCCAAGTTTACAAAATCACAAATAAAACTAAGATCTCTGCTTAGTTTTGTGAAAAGAACTAGGACTTGTAAATAGAATATTTGTGTTTCATTATTCTTTCAAGAAGCATATAGTATATTATCACTAAAGATAGATAAGTACACATTTTCTTCCCTCCAGTAGTCATAAAGGAGTAGTGGGTGAAAGAGCATTTATTATTGAGATAATGCCAGGTTTCTAGAAGAAAATAAGGGTGACAACGCAGTCAGGGATATGAACTTCCAAAGAAGCAATGCCTAAGTTGAATTTAAGAGCAGTATGCAAAGGCACCAGTGGTTTATTGACCGTAAGTACCTAGCTTGTGCCACCAGGGGAATAGTAATACAAGCCTAGAAAGGTAAGCAGAGGTTAGATCCTAGAGGGTGTATATTTTTCTCATTCCCTATTACCTACCTCAAAATTGAAGCTCCATATGTGTTCCCTCCTGCCTAACCAAAAAAAAAAAAAAAAAAAAGTCAAAAAAAAAAATCCTTCCTTGGTGAATATATAAACAAGGCTGAACATATCTATTGGCCCAGGAATACAATAGCATACGCTTCAGAGACTCACCTGCTAAGTATATATAGCAATGGCAACCGGGTCAAGTATTTTTAAGGACCCTAGTCACCCATACTCCATCAGTGCCAAAGCAGCCATGATTGTTAAAGCATACATCAGCACAAGAGCAGACATTTCTTGGGTGTACAAAAAAATATTTACAATAAGCAAGAACTTAATGCTCTTTTCAAAGCCTGTGAGAGGTTACTGGATCATGGGAAGCTAAAAACAAGAATGGAAAGACTGCTCTTTACTCTCTTGGTATTCAGTAACAATAGATGTTCAGAAGATAAGTAGCTGAGCACAGCAAGTACACAACTAACGTCATTTTGTTATAATATTGATGAGATGCCTTAGGAGCTTAACTCTTGTTTATATCCATTAGCCTATGGTGAACTTGCTTTTGCTATACATAGTTTTATTGAAAGTCAGAACCTATTGATGTTAAGTGAGAACTTAACTCTAATAGCGTTGTGGATACTGTTCAGCCTTGTTCTCAATAACAATTAGCAAGTTACATTAGCTTCCAGAAATAGCTTCACAATTATGTCATTTGTATATTGCCCTCCATGGTGTCTTTTACTTTGCCCTAAATTAATCCCAAATTATCTGAAATGCCACTCCAATGTCAGAAAAAAGGGAGAGAATTGGAAATACATTTCCTGTGATTTTAAGAGTACAATTAATCATCTTTCTTTGGTTAGTCCTCGTGCCTATGGTGTATAATAAAGATCAAAATGAACTCTCAAGAGCCTCCTAATTTTTATTGTCAGATGAGTGAAAGTTTCTTTAAAGGTTAAAAAGTTGAAATTGACATCTTTTGAGTAAGATGGCAAAAGAGAAATGTCTTTTTTTTTACCTTCATTTTTTAATTAATGGTCAAGATCAGTTTGGGGGAGTGTATATGTTTTTGGTTGTTGTGTTGCAACTTAGGACTGTTCAGTCTATTACTGTTTCTTTGAGTGAGCCTTCAATAGTCTAAATTACTTACTTTAGGTAGGAAGTCATTAATTCCCCCAGAGATGGTTAAAATCTGATTTTTTATATTGCCTTCTTTTGAGTAGCATGGTCTTTCTGCTGTTGTCTTCCCAGAACGGATGTAACAGACATACCTTTGTTAGTTAGACCTGTTACTAAAAAGAATTCATGTAACCAAATGAATTGCAACAACTATGCAGAGGTGGGCAAAAGTAGGTTTATAGTTGTTTGTATGGGAAATCATACAATAATTAATAATACAAGAATAAACTGTTTCCTCATACAAATGTAAACCTACTTTTGCACACCCCTGTATTTGTAGCTGAATTTTGAACTCAAAAAATATTTCAGATGCGAATAGAAAAACTGTCTTAGTTTCCTTTGATGTGTATTGTAAACCCCTCACTGCTCCATTTTATTACCAGTTGATGTGAGACTGTAGAGAAAGTCACTGAATTTCTGATTTCTAACTGCTCAAACGAATTCAAAATGGTTGCTTAAGACCATTGAATTTAACATAGTCGAAGCAAAATCTGCAAGTCTGTTTCAACTCAGAAGATTTGCATTGATATCCTTAACCATAGAGATTTGTCTGGATTGGGGTGTGGGGGATCATAAGTATTGGAAATAAGGGTAGTCACCAAACACACTGTAAAGTATGAGAACTACAAAATACCCAGACACTAATAGTGTTTGAACTTGTTTTGACAAGGGAAGTGGCCTAGAAGCAAATGTGTAGTGATTGAGGATTTTTACTCAAATGCCAAAATGTGTAATTTTTGAGCCACTTTAACATTTTTGGTCAAGTACTATGTCTAGGCTAAATGCTGGAAAAATAATGCACAAAGATACTAAACTGTTTAAAAAGAACCGTTTAAGGCATAAAGGATTTCAAGAAGGCTGGCATCAAAGGAATATTTGCAGTATTGAAGTGTTAAAGGAAAGTTTCCTGCAGACTTCAAGTAGGACCAATATATTTCACCTTGGAAATTAAAAATTATGAAGTTAGAATAATCACATTATTATTTAATTAGGGCTCCTGGAAAATAAGACAGTTTTTCCTTTCAATTTTATTTCATAAAAACATTGTTTATTCTTTGCTTGTTTTTCACTTAATGTTATGAATTCACAAATGGAACCTCTGTTAAATCTTGGAAAGTAATGAGTGTAACGTGACTTGTATGTTTAAGAAGTTTACAATCCTTCCTATATAATAAAGAGCTAATATGCTAATTAGACCAAACAACAGAATGACCGTTAAGACATCCTTCTGAACGAAGCCGAGGCTGTGAGGGCTGGCCGGGGCAGCCAGGTCTTCAAGGGCCGAGCCCCTTGCACGAATTTCATGCATTGGGCCTCTAGTATGAAAATAAGAATCCTG